AAAAGTACCAAACACGTCTAGTAGTCAGCATAGGAAGCTTGCCTCTGCAGCCCACTGAGGCACAACCACAGAAAGGCTCCCCCCCACACACCTTTTGCCCTTTCTGTTCATCAGTGTAAACCAGAACAATCTGTGGCCGATGTGTCCTTGGTATGACTGCTGAGTTACCTAAATACACTTCTAAAAGTTTCTTTGTGAAGAGAAACAGAGAGAAGAATCATGGGATTTCAAAATAATAACAACAATAATAATAATAATACATGCTGGTTCCCTTGTATTTGCCTTCTGGCCCTTGAACCTGTAGGGCTGTGACTCTCAACCAGGTACCATGGCACCCTAGGATGCCATGAGATCCTTTTAAGGGTGCCATGAGGTGCTGCACAATATTAGCACTGTGAGGTGCGCAAAAGCCTATGCGTGATCCACAAGATAGGCCCAGAGATTCCAAAGAGAAATCCAAACGGTCAAAAACATTCTGATCTGTTGTGGTCTTTCTGAAAACCAAGCAGTTCTTCTATTTTCTGTAGTCAAGAAATTAATGAAAGTTAAAAGCTGGCATTTCCTGAGGGGTGCAAGCCAACTGCTCTAGGGGTTCCAATTTGAGGAATTCTCTCCAGAGCTACAACGACCAAAACCATACCATTTCATCTTTTTTTGGTTTCTGCAATGGAAGATTGATTCTGCAACAGCTAGGGCTTTAACTGAGGCCTGCCAAAAGATTGTGAGACTCAGTAAAAGAAGATGTGAGGCTTTGCTGGTATTTTTCCACCCATCCCACCCTGACACCATGCATTGAGAGACAGCAATCAGCGTGGCCTGCGTGCTGCCAGAATTACAAAAGCAGCTACTGCCCATGCTCTGTTTCCGGATCATACAGTTGAAAGATAAACTTGTCTAGATGGAATGAAACCCTCAATGAACACATGTTAAGTTACGCAGAAGAGACGCTTACCTCTTCAACTCAGCAATGAGCAGAGCTGTGCAGGGAACACCCAAATGTCATTAATGAGATGTTGTCCATTGCAGGCTTAACAAACACAAGGCAGGTAGTCACTCCAGAAAGGACACCCACAGCAGCTTTGAACTTGCTCCTGAATACTTTAAAAACAAGAGTACATTTTGTTTTAAAAGCTACAATAACAACATTCTAAACACAATGTTAATACAACAACTAAGGTATACCATTTCTTTTGGCACGCATAAAAAGGATGCACACTCTGAGGATAACCACAAGTATAGTATACCAACCTGGAGCTCGATCCTGTAAAGTTAATCATATACAAAATATGCAAAGTTAAAATCACATGTACAAATATGTTTTGGCTAGCTTCTGAATGTAAAAAAAAAATATAAAACAAACTTTGGAACAGGAGGCTCCATTCTTACCTCTCTCCTACCAGTATAAATCAAGTGCATTTCCAGTTCCGTGAATGGAGTTATGTTGGATTTCAAAAGCAATACGTTGTCAATTTTCATGATTTGTCACTAGAGTCTTATCACAGGTATTCTTTTCTTTAAAGCCCCAGCTCCTGAAATCATGTTACTAGAGAATGTCATCAAGAAGGAAAAGGAGGAAGGTTCTAACCTTCATGGTTATAGAAAAATAGACTTTCAAACAAGAACTTTAAAGACTTAAAATCCACAGGTGATAGGATAATATATTTTTTTAAGTTGAAGATAAAGCCAAACTTTATTATTTGGAGAGAGACTTCAGCTTTTGTGATTTACTTTTCAAGGCTAAATTTTGATCAACGTTAGAAGGAAGCCTTATTTGTTTACAGTACACTGCTTGACATATTCATAAATCAAAACCACTTAAACTCTGTTTAAGACTCTTTCTGTTTGGAAGACAACACGCCTTAAACATCCTGTTTCTGGGGTCTATCATCTGTAGGGGAGGAAACATCCTCCAAACTGATGCCCTCTAGAAAATTCAGAATCTGAATGAATTTCTCTCGCATTTTCAAGGAAGCCAAAATGAAGGTGTTCTATAGAAATATTCCAACTGAGCCACACTTTGTGCTACACTTCTTAAAAGATGCAGCCTATTGGTAAGAGCCCATGCAAAGCAGGGGCTAACAGGATGTGAAACCATCTTTGTACCTTTTCTGAGACCAGTTAGGAATCCTTCGATGGTTGTCCCACAGACAAGAATAACAAGGTTTAGTCAGTCCCCACTCCTGTATTTTACCAATCCCTGCCAGACACGCTTTGACATATATGAGACATATATGAGAGGACCATAGGGCTGTCAACATTGGCCAGCTCTGTAACAAAAAATTTCCAAGGATCATAATGCCCCCACAGGGATGATATAAAGGATCTTCTACAACGGACAAGATCTGCTTCACAATGTACAACTCATAACCATAAAACTGTTGCTGTGTATGGCCAGCATATTTTTTCTTTTTAATTCTACATCTGCAGAAAAGACAAGTTATGCTAGTGTAGCTCCATTCCCCAACTCAGACAGGCATGGTAGTAGCTTGCACTGAGCTCAACGCATCAGCACCAGAACTGCTGTTAGCTTTGGAAGACACATTTCTAGCTGTCAGTTACTTAGAAGAAGTATAAAATGGAGGTGAATAAATTGATATGAAAATGACAACTGGCACTGTAAGAATATGCAAAATAGATACAAGTACAACTTTCCTGCCTCTAGCCTTAGTGTCTAGAAGCCCTGGATGTGCAAGACACCATGTTCAGTAGTGTTAAAAAAGTTTGGAGGGTGAAAAGAAGGAAGAATTAATATATGACAGTGACGAGGATGGAACAAATAAGGTTATAATGCAAAGTTTGGCAGAAAACATTTTTTCCCATAAACCTGACTGTCAAAAAGATAACTTGACCTCTCTAAAACTTCTGCAAAAAGAAAATCTCCTCGAAATTTTGCTGACAATATCAAATTCCAAGGTAAAGTGTTGTTCTGGAAAGTTTAGGGGAAACGTAACAGGGTTTTAATGTTATATTATCCTGATTTTGATGTCAGCCAAAAATCAGCTGTGCCCTGGGATTTTACCGATGTAAATTTGAACCCAGATTGCAACAGGAACAGTATTTCACACCAATAATTTATTATTCCTTTTATTTAAATAAAGACCTCACAGCAATGATGTTTCGAAAGGAAGCTATATTATGAATCTAGGCAGGTAAAAGTCAGTGGATGTCACGCTAGGTTATATGAAGTAATGACTGGGGGAAGCAATTCTTATGTAATGATGGGGGGGGGCTTTTTGGACATGCCAAAACGTCCTTTAACTGCACTATTAGAACGCTGTGGTTTTGCTTTTTGGAGGTGAAACAACAGACAGCATGTTCATTCTGTAAAAGCAGTTGTACTATAAAGAAGCCCACAAGATTCATACAGCCCAGAACAAGTCACAAGCCTGACACAGTCACTTAAGATAAACTTTGCACAATGACAGCAATTTGAGGTGTGTGCCAGGAGAGAGGCAAATACAGAGTCTTTTAAAAACCATTTAACCAGAGTGGTAACAGAAATAAAACACACGAGTACAGAAAAGTAGGAAACAGTGCTACCTGTTAAGTTGGTCTAATAAAAAATATCACATTTACCTAAAGAACCTTGTCTGCTTTATTATTTCTTAAGCACATGATCTGGCACTTTGGAAAAATAAAAATGGACTTAAATTCAGTAATACAGTCTGTGGCAACATGGGAACTCCTTGACCAGCCACCGCCTCTGGGCACGCTGCCTGCTTCACCTTCTTGTTATGTGATTAGGGTCTTAATTAGGCAGGAGGCTTCCCGGTTCTCCTGAGCCTAGGTATGCAGCTCCAACCACCCCTGTACTGCATCTCAAGCCTCGCAGGTGACCTATTATTCAGTCACCGGCTCAAGGCACATGGTTGTCTCTCACACTGCTGTGCCACAGGCCACATTCATCCCACCCCTCTCACACCAGGGCCTCTTACACTCCAGCAGCTCTCACCTGGTCTCTTGCATACCGCCCCACTCATCCCACCCTACTTCATGAGATCCTTGGGTTTAACTCTCCACTCATCTCCTGCTACCTCACTGTGTGTTGACTGAGTAATTGCTCAACTGTGGGCTTACTTTAGCCTTAGCCCCATACCAGAACATAATGCCCATTCCTTGGGCCCCTACTCATGCCCCTCACTCTCAGGACCAGTCCTCAGCCTCCACCCCACATTTGGCCTCAGGCCCCCTTCCTCTCCGGGCCTCACTTCACTCGGCAGGGTTCTACACTGCACTGGGGCTCAGGTCCCCCTCTGGGCACACCTGGCCCCACCACCCATTCTCTGGGCCTTCTGCCCCAATGAGGTCATGTACCACACCTGGGCATGCCTGGCCCTCCACTGTCTCTGGTGTTAAATAAACCTGCCCAAAGGCAGGGGCTGGGGTTAAGGCATCCTCACCTTTCACCGGGGAGGTAAGTGGCCTAGCATTTCCTGGGGGCTCCCTCACCACTAGAAGCCCTACCCGGCCCCCCCCTCCCCAGCAGGGTACAGTTTCAAGTCCTGCTCAGGACTGAGAGCCTCCTAGCCATCCCCATATGCTCTTGCCCTTACCTTCTTGTGTTACCAGAGCAGCAGCTCTGCCAAGAGATGTTTCCTTGGTGCCAGGCATCAGGTTGCTACCTCCAGCTCTGTTGGCCTGAATCTTAAAATGGCTGCAAGTAGGAGACACCAAAGGTGCTCTGCCACACAGTCCTCAAAGTCCTTCATTTCTTTTAATACAATATCCTGACCGTCCTCTGTACTGACAATGCCTGTTCTCCCACAACCCACTTTTGTATCAGCAGTACATTTCATGAGCACACTCCTCATATTTGTATAAGATCATTAATTAAAGCATTGAAGATCAGTCCCAAGATCAATCCTATTGAAACTCCATTGTTAACTTCCTTGTAGCTTGTCACTTCCCCTTTCAAGAATGCTCTGCAGATCCTAGCCTATAGGAAAATATGACTCATTACGGTTATGACGCATCGTTAGGGTTATGAGGTTGCAGATGCTAACAAAGCACTTTGCAACCTTACTTTCAATAAAAAAGGGTCACCACCAAACATTTCCTGAAGTGCAGTATTTTACATGACAAAGTAGTCATGTCATTAGTAAATCTTTGCTATGGTTGTTAGAAATTGCATTCAGGAAATAAATCTTAGCATTCTTCACAGCATACCATCAACAGAAACAACAAGAAACCCTCCATGGTTTTGGATTAATGTGGAGAAGACCACAGCGTTTTGCAAATCTGGCCCTGAAGAACCTGAATGGCTGTAGCTCCTGCAACTTTATTACAGCTAACATCCAATAACATCTGGAATGCCGTTCAGCACTGGATGCGTGTTTAGCAAGATGTACAATGTCCATTGTCACCGTGGACAGAGCACTTCTGAATCTAATAACCAACAATTCTAATCAAAGGCCAAAAAGTAAAGCAAGCAAAGTAAAACCCGAAGCAGAGTCCCATCAAGAAACTCCAGACTAATCTGTGGCAGAAAAAAATTAAAACAGTGAATCCAAATGACAGTTTGAGGCAGTGGTTCTCACCCTTTTTTCGCTTCAAGGCAGCACTTTGATGGGCTTCCAAGAAGGCCAGCTTTGAACTTGCACTTGATTTGTGACTATAGAGAAAAACTAGAGCAATTCTTCTGTGGGCAGGTTTATCTTGCGAATTATGCTTGCACACCAAACAGCACTGGCAGGACAATGCAGCACCCCTGAAAGGACCCTTTTTTTGTTTTTTTCTTTTTTTAAAAAAAGTGTTTCATGTCCCAGGTCAAATTAGCTAGATCAGGTCCCAAATCCATTTGAATCGTTCAAGAACCACATGCAGCCCTACTATTGGCAAGTATCCTCTACCCCAGCCTGCGATTTCAGATACTTCCCAATCCTTTGGCAAGCATCCTATGTGCAGGCCCAAGCCCAGATACATGGGGTTCAGATGTCCTCAAGATGTGCTCGCCCTCAGTCATATGACTGAGGGGTCTCCCATTTCCATAAAAATTGGCATGTAGCTGAGATCCTCCCACTGGAAACAGGCCAGCAGGAACTTAACTATAACATTCTCATAGGAAGTCCTATCCGCAAGCAGACAAGGGTGCAACCCTCCACTACACACTGCCATTTTAATTGTGTTACCTCAGCCAGGGTACTTCTCCTGCCACCATTGTGGGCATGGTCTTTCTCCCAAGGACCTCAAGCACCCCCACTTGAGAACCACAAGCTTGATTTTAATCATGCAACTGGCTCAAGCAAACGTGATGCCTGCAGGTGGGAGCTCGCTCACTCGCTCGCAGCAACACCTCTGGCACGTGGGGTTTTTTTCCAACCTGCGTCCAATCCTATTTGGGGAAGCTGCTGCTATAGGGCCAGGCTGGGCCTGGTCTGCACCCACCTTGAGCAGTGGTAAGGACCCAGGTTCCTGTGCTAGGGCACTATGCTCTGAATGGTGTGGGCCACCTGGATTTCACCCCCCTGCCCGCAATA